CTCCAGAGATGATCAATTGGGTTTAGGTCAGGGCTCTGGCTGGGCCAGTTAGGAATGGTCACTGAGTTCTTCCCAAGCCAGTCCTTCGTTATTTTAGCTGTGTGCTAAGGGTCATTGTCTTGTTGGGAGGTGAACCGTGGCACAGTCTGAGGTCCTGAGCTCTTTGGAAAAGGTTTTCTTCCAGGATATCTCTGTACTTGGTCGCATTAATCTTTCCTTTAATTGCAACCAGTCGTCCTGTCCCTGCAGCTGAAAAACATCCCCATAGCATGATGCTGCCACCTCCATGTTTCACTGTTGGGATTCTATTGGACAGGTTATGAGCAGTGTCTGGTTTTCTCCTCATACCTCTTAGAATTGACGCCAAAAAGTTCAATCTTGGCCTCATCAGCCCGGAGAATCTTCATTCTCTTGGTCTGGGAGTCCTCCTTGTGTTTTTTGGCAGACTGTGCAGGCTTTTATATGTCTTGTACTGAGGAGAGGCTTCTGTCCCACCACTCTGCCCTGACTAATGGAGGGCTGCAGTGATAGTTGACTTTCTTCCATCTCCCTACTCTATCTGTGGAGCTCAGTCACAGTGATTCTTCTTTACCTCTCTCACCAAGGCTCTTCTCCAACGATTGCTCAGTTTGGCTGGACAGCCAGGTCTAAAAAGAGTCCTGGTTGTCCCAAACTTTTTCCATTTAGGGATTATGGAGGCCACTGTGCCCTTAGGAACCTTCAGTGCTGCAGAAATTCTTTTGTAGCCTTGACCAGATCTTGCCACAATTCTGTCTCTGAGCTCCTTGGGCAGTTCCTTCAACCCCATGATTCTCATTTGCTCTGACATGCACTTCGAGCTGAAAGGTCCTATATAAACAGGTGTGTGCCTTTCCCAATCAAGTCCAATCAGTTTAATTAAACAAAGCTGGACTCCAATGAAGGAGCAGAACCATCTAAAGAGGATCAGAAGAAATGGACAGCATGTGGGTTAAATGTGTCAGCGCAAAGGGTCTGAATACTAATGATGATGTGATGTATCAGTCTTTCTTTTTCAATAAGTTCGCAAAAATTTCTACATTTATGCTTTTTGTTTGTTTTTTTTTCTGTCAAGATTTGGTGCCGAGTGTACATTGAGAAATAAAATAAACTTTTTTGATATTAGCAAATGCCTGCAATGAAACAAAGAATGAGATTTTTTTTTTTATTATAATAATTTAACTTTATTGATCTCATATTGGAGAAATTTACCTCTTTATTACCTGAGGATTCAAAGCCCTATACCCTAACCACTAGGCTGCCGCTCCGAGGTCTCAATACTCTCCGTACCCTCTGTTTGTTAACTTGTGATTTATCCAATTGAAAAGACGTTTATCTATCACTTCTTTTTGAAATTATATTAGATCTAAATTTAATACATTTCTTGATGGAAATTGTTTCTTTAGCTACAGTTTAAAAGGTAAAATAATGTTGTTGCTAAGTAAAAGCTCAGTACTTACAGGGACCTTAAGCTACTTGTATACAAAGAGCAGAAACCAGGATTAACACATTGAGGCCTAGGATAAAACAACTATGTAATAATTTAATTACAGGAGACAGATTTGTTTAAAACCTTTATATCCAGCTCTCTGTTTTTATTGGAAGCAAGGCCGCGCTGCTAGTAACAGATAGTATCTGTTGTGATGTTGTAAACTCACGGAGCACCAGCCAGTGGCTGTGTGGGCTCATCCTGTGCTGCCTTAAGAAAATAAACACGTCGTTTTATTCACTGTAGCCCACAGGTAATCTGTTGATGTTTGCCTTTCTGGGTCATTTGAGGTAGAATTTGTCTCATTGTTGTAGATCTTCCATTAAGTTGGAATACTGATGGTAACCTTGATGTTTATTTGATGCATGGTGGTTCCCCTATTTCACCTCAGTGTGTTAAAGAAGTTGGGAAGTTGTATGCCTTAAGTTGTTGCTGAGTTTTGGGTTAAATTATCTTTTATTTTGTCATATTTTCTTCCTATCAACTCTATCGCTCATCTAAATCCCCATCACTATGCAGGGGACCAAAAAATCTCGCCTGGTCAGCCGGGCCAACAATGTCCCTAACGACTCCTCCCTTTCAGAGGCATAGACCAGGATTGCAGGTTAACTGGTTCAATTTGCATGTTTTCAAAGTCAAAACATGGCTTTGTTTGGGTTACTCTGTAAAACTTGGAACTAAACTCTAATTCTGACATTTTGAATTGAAAAAGCTTCCTGGATGGGAAGCGAAACGTCTTAAAACTTGGAAAGATGGTCCAGTGGATTGTTTTTAACTTTTTTGGAATGTTTTTGTATTGCGTAAATAAAGAGCTTCGCGACTGAACCTTGGTTCCAGTGTGAGTTACATACCTGCTGGGAAACGCACCACAAAATCAATGTGAAAGTCATCTTTAGTATCCCAACCCAAGTTTGAGAATAGATTAATGGCGAAATTTCTTAATCTCCCAATTAATGCAGCATATTAATGCCGATAATGGTCTACCACTAATAATTATATATATACATACATACATTAGGGGTGGAACGGTTCACAAAATCCACGGTTCGGTTCACGATTTATGTCGGTATATGTTGATTGTTAGCCTGACATGTTGGTCATGTTGCTGTTAGCGTAAACAAAACGTGTTGCACAATGCTTGCACACTGTTGCACTTTTATCCACAACTTTCTTTCCGCCGTCATCGTAGGTCACTCTAAATGCAAAGTGGTCCCATACAGCAGACCTATAAAGTGCTGCTGGCGCGTCTTCCAACTCCTGTTCTTTCCCACTCGCCATACCCACACAATTCTCCACAACAACTGATTTTTTTTCTGTTACACCCGGCTACGCTGCTTCGCTTCTTCTTCTTGTTTACTACTGGTGGTTGGCTTTGTTCGCAGTACCGCCACCTTCTGCTCTGGAGTGTACACGCTTCGCCTATGAGAAAAAGGAGCAGCGCATGAACCGAACGCAAGACACGCAAACCGAACCGAGACAGTCGAACCGAACGGTTCGAACCGAACGGTTCGGACGGTTTTCATAAACCGTTCCATCCCTAATATATATAAATGTGGACAACTAGTTATACAAAGTATACAGGTCAACTAGTGTTCAAATTAGAGATGAAATCAGGGGCAAACATCCAGTTTTTCTGCACTGCAGTGTTTAATATGATATGGCGAAGCAGTGTGATGGAGTCATAATTTTGTAGTTTTCAAGTAAGACTCAAATCTTTATCCTCAACTTCAGAGTCAGGAATCAAGCAAAGTCAGTCAAGTTGTTCAGAAGGGTTTTTATGATGTGTCCTGATGTGTCTGAAGTCATGACAGGTAACCCTCAAAGCAAGTCCCGAGTATGAAATTGAATTTCAAGTCCTTACATGTCTATTTTAAGCAAGGCATGCTTATGAACATTTGGTAATAGGACCAATTTAAATAAAGTCTATTCTCCATTCTTTATGCTGCTTCAAATGTCAGACAAAGATCTTTGTTTTTAATCCTATTTTTTAATTCAGGTTCGCTTTTTTATGAGTAGTTTGTAAATTTATAAGTCCCCCAAAATAACATTTATTATTGTGGGATGAGGGACACAAAGTATTGATGGACACTTTTCAAATGATATGCATTTTTAAAACTGTATATTTTTGGTGTTCATGTTGAATTCCAGTTCAAATCCTGACTCATTAGTGTAAAAGTGTAATTCACAAGTCTCTGAACATTTTTGATAGTCTTACTATAAAATGAATGACTCCATTCTGACTCGAGTCATGTCATTCCTCTGGATACGACCGTACCGTACCTCATCATTCATGTTGTAAGCGATTTTGTCTTTTTCAGAAGCTGCGCTTTTCCCCATCAAGCTTTCAGCTTTCATCAAATCTGAAATGATCCTTAGCTTCCCCTCCATCTGTTTATTCAGTAAGGCAGTGTTTAATAGGAAACCGGCAGCTTCAGGTTAGGCAGATTAATGCTTCTAATCTTATCTAGTAACTAGTTCGGTGGGTTCTATTTTCTTTTTTTTGTGATCATTTATGAGTCAGAGGAAAAAGCTTGAAGGCAGAGCTGCTGACGAATATCTCTACATGTCCCAGCTCTTAATGACGGATGTCTGTTATTAGGAGTTGCTGATTATTCCTAACCATCTCATCATAATATTGGCGTACGTCAGTAGTTCAGTCAGAAAGGAATGCCTCGGATGTCCCATCCTTCCAGGATGTAATATTTTAAGTGTCATATGTTTTTACGCTCCGTATCTCTATATTTGGCCTATTGAATGGACGTCCCTTAATGCTTTCACCAGGTGTGTTTCTTCCAGTGGCTCGGATGCTGCAGCTCATGGAGAGTTGTTCAGACATTATGCAATGGAAAAGGAAGGGAACTGTCTGGAAAATCAGAGTTAGTCCTAAACAGTATATTTATTGTAATCAACAGCAATGGTGTCGCAGTTAAATATATATTTGCAAAATCCTTACAGTTGAAGGAAGCTCATTAACCATTGTTGAAGATGAATGAGTTTCCGCTAACCTGTCTGCGTTTCCACTGGTTGATGCAGTGATCAGTTCTGCTAAATCTGTGAAATTTTTTTTCCTTATCGTTTTTGAATAAGGGCAAAATTATAAAAGACGACGTAGACGAAAGCTCTGTACGGCTGTAAAGCAAATAAAAATAAACTGAATCCCTATATTGTAAAACTACATGCTTCTAAGTTGGATATTTGGAAAATGTGGTTGCAGCATTGTTGGTAAAATTTACTTTTAGTCTTAAAAATAAAAACTGAATGGGTGTGTCAGATGTTGGGGGGTAAAAAAAGAATCTGGACGTTCAGTAGAAGCTTCCCCATAAAAGATTATATGAATAATTTAAGGAGCAACACATATCGTTTCAGTTTTAGGTCTTATTTTGTTTGTAATATTTAGTTTTCTTATTTTCTTCTTGTGATGTTTAACACCTTATTTGGAATAAACGGCAGCTTAAACAGCTGTTTTCTTAATTGTATTATTCTGTCTTCACAGGTACGCCATCATGTGTGGAATCATGGCAGAGTACGATACAATCCAAAACAAGATAAAGAACGGTTATATCTTTAAGGTAGTGTACACCTGAAGTATCCTATTCATTAATTTAATAGTTTTTAATTTTTTCACATTATTTATAGCCATTAAGAGTTTTTTTTTTTTTTTTAATAGAGCTTTATTTGATAGAACAAAAAAAATGCTTATAGTGAGAAAAGAAAGAATGGAAGAGGATTAAGAAGTTAACTGATTTTTACATTTTATTTCAGTTTAACATGGGAAAAATCTGTTTAATCTCAGAATTCTGACTTTTTTCTCAGAATTCTGACTTTAATCTCAGAATTTTGGATCTTAATGTAGATGGGCACCATGAAGGAAGAGATGTGGAGCACTCAGCTTCACTGACAAAGATGTGAGTTGTTTGAGGTGGCCAGTGAGACATTAGTGGAAAATGACGGAATTAGGCAACTTTTTACGTGCCCGAGGGGTCCCCTCATTAATAGAGGAGCAGAAGGTCGTTAAAACAAGAGAGCTAGTCTCTAAAACAGACATGGCTATGGCATGATGCTAACATGTTTGTTAGCTGTCAGAATTCTGAGGAAAAAAGTAAGAATTCTGAGATTAAAATCAGAATTCTGAGAAAAGAGTCAGAATTCTGACATTTTTCCATATTAAACTGAAATAAAATTAAAAAAATCAGTTAACTTTTTTTTTTTTCAGTGGCCCTAATCCTCTTCCGTAAGATAGAATAGATGGTGTTTGAAATATTGTTATGCAGATAAGATTCTTGAATCCATTGTATGAATTTGTTGTTGAGTTTTTTTGGTCCCCTTTTCACAGTGGTCGAGAGGTACAAACATACTGCAAAATGCATAAATGCACTACAAATAAAAAATTTAGATGACAGAATTTATATGAATACCCAAAACACATGCAAATGAGAAATGCTGCAATCACAGAACATCGAGAGAGGTAAATGCAAACGCCCTGCATACACAGAAATGATTCTTACATACAAACACATAATACATGGAAGGTAAAAATGCTGCAACTAGTAAAAATAACTCCAAGTTAAGGAAAGCTCTAAACTAGCTCAGAATAATGCAAAAGCTCCAGACCACTAGAGGGAGACGAGAGGAAATATAAAAACCTTTAAATAAAAACCTTTTTTTTTAAAACTGTGATAGAGCTCTGTCAAGAACCCCTTAAGTGGCATGAATTTAGCTTCAACTGGTTTAAATTCCTTATAAAATCTCCTTTAAGGTACCTTTTACAATCTGATTATTAATCGATTAATCGAAAAAAATTATCCACAGATTAATCGATTAGCAAGATAATTGTTTGCAGTCCTAGATTGTCTCCCCCTAGTGGTCAGGAGCATTATGCAAAGCCAGTTTGCAGATCCTTGGTGCAGCAATTTTACTTTGCATGTGTATTGTGTGTTATTCTGTTAGCACCATTTATTCTTTCAACAGGTTTTGTATTTGCAGCATTATTGCTGCTCTTTATTTTATCTTCTTTGCAGCATTTTCCTTTTGCATGTGTTTCATGTATTTGTGTAACTTTTGTGTTTGCCAGTCTCTGTATGTGGGTGCAGTACTTTTAACATTTGCGGCTTTGGCCGCTAAATAAAAGCCAGAATGTATTTGGCTCTTAAAAAGCCTTCTTACTATTAAATTGAGTCATCATGTGAGTAATTATAAGACAGCTGCTCCTCAGAGATTTTTAAGATAATATTAGGGAAAGATTGGCGGACAGGTGAAGGATGCAGTAATGTGAGGGCTTGTTGGAAAACTAACACCACATTTTATCTTTACCCCCTCATAGTGATACATGTTGGTGGCAGCATCATGATGTGGGGATCCTTTTATTCAGATTAATGAAGTTAATGTAGGTCCGTCCTGGAAGGATAGCAGATTTTATTTAGGGGTGCCAGCTGGAAAAAAAACTTTAAATACAGATACCAACGTTGAAAAAAGAAAAAGAACTTCAGTATTCTGCTCTACTCTGTGCCTAAAAACCCTAATACAATATACTCAATTCAATTCAGTTTATTTCTATAGCATCAATTCACATAACATGTCATTTCAAGGCACTTTACAGTTCGACACATCATACAATCAAATTGATTCAAAGTTTTCTATCTAAGACTAAAACTAGGTGATTGCATCGACTTATTGACTCGAATGCAATCCCTCACACTAAGCATGCTTGTAGCGACAGTGGAGAGGAAAAACTCCCTTTTAACAGGAAGAAATCTCCAGCAGAATCAGACTCGGTGTGAGAGGCCATCTGCTGAGGCCGACTATATATTGAAGAAGTATTGTTGACTATATTGAAGTTTATTGTTGTCAAGTGCCAAAATATTACTGAGGAAAAAGATTTGAATACTTCAACGGAGTGTAAACAGAACATGTATAATACACCAACTGTCATCTTTCTTGAAAAGGAGCAGGAAATTATGCTTTTATCCCTTAAGGTGCGAAGCCCCTCCTACAGACAGCAGCTTACATAAGCAGAAGCATGGAACAACAGCACGTAGCATTTTATCTTTTGTCAGCAGCTTTGCCAAACACTGTGTACCTTCAGAGCTCTTGACAGGTGAATGAGCGAGAGATAGGGAACTGGAGAGGGCAGATTGGATAAAAAAAAGGGGGGGAAAAAAGCTCCTCAAAGAGCCAGGGAGTGGAAAAGGGGAAGGGAGGGTCTGTGACAGCAGGGGTGCACAGCTCCAACAGGTTTGCGTGTGTGAGAGGTGTTTATGAAATACTTGTGGGTTGGTGAAGCAGGACAGATCAGGTCAGGACAGACGGCAGTAAAAACAGCAGCTGGATCATGAATCAACAGTGAAAACGGTCTGTTTCTGTCTCCTCTCCCAGGATCATCTGGATAAAGCCATCGAGCTGAAGCCGCAGGACCCCCTGTCTTACTACCTGCTTGGCCGCTGGTGCTACGCCGTATGTGATGCCTCCTTTTTTCGCTCCATTCTGAGCCCAGAAAGACAGAATTTAAAAATTTCTGTTGTCCTGCTCCAGTGTCCCCCCCCTCCCCATGCTAACCCACCATGGTCCCCTCCCCTCATTGCCACTGTTTAGGCTCTCTTAGGGATTTGTTTTTCCCTCTGTGATTTGCACGGAATGATAGCTTCATCCTGTTTCTTTTCTTTCTCCTTTTCGTTTCCGTTCTGCTGGTTGTTTTTGATTCTGATAAAGCCTGTTTTTATGGTCATCACGCTATGTCTTTCAGGCACAGTCACTGTTGTTATATTTGGCAATAATGTCTCATCAGATATATATGTTTTTTTTCATACTGAGCTGTTTTCCAGAATGACTTAGTTAAAATGTGGAGAAACTTTTTCATGGTTAATCAAGACCTTCTGTTGGGGTATAAATCCGATGTGACACAAAGGCCCGTTTCTCTTAGAAACTCTTCAGAATGGTAATGACAAAAAATATAATATATGAAACCAAAATTTTTAGAAAAATCTGTTGGTTTAAGTAAAAGAATTTGCATTGAAATAAAAAAAACTGGTTTTTACCAAAACACTCATTCCAGCTCTTGTAGATAATATTTTGCACAACCCTCCTTTTGGTTTAGGAATGCGTGTAATCTCCTCTTCATCATCCAGAGTTTAGGGTCATGTCCTCCATTTTTTTTTTTTTATTATTTAGTTTTAGTTTTCCAAAATCTTTGGGGGAAAACTATAGGCCCACAGCATCACAGCTCCTCCTCCTTACTTAAGGATGTGAGGTATTTTTTTCCCTTGTTTCAAACCACATACAGTATTTGTTCCTGTTCAATCCAACTTTATTATAAAGGGATATTAAAAGCAAACGGTTGTTACTTTAAACTATAAATGGAGACATAAACACACAACTAACTGGATTCATGATTTATTTAACAGCTCATCTAACATTTCTCATCTTTTAGGCAGAATGGCTGTTTTAGTCTCATTTGATCAAAGCTGACAGTTCAGGGTTTAAATGTCAGATCTTTTTTAGCAAACTTCTATATTTTCATTAGATATGTTTCTAACATGAATAAACTCTCTAATAGCTGTGATGAAGATCTGGCCACTCTTCGCTTCTGTTACCTAAAATGAAATTTTTTTTTAAATACTTGACCATCCATCCATCCTCTTCACTTTCCTCGTCCAACAGAGGTCCAGCTGTAGCCGTTTTAAACTCTATTATTATGAGTGAGGATAAGGTGGAGTACACAGTTACAGGATATCATAAAAATGATTAAATGTAGGGGAGAAAAAAACCATTTACATTTATTTTGGAGTCACACAAGGAGTTTTCAAGATGGCGCTGTGCATGCAGCAGCCTGTTACGTCGGTTCTGAGTTTTCCTTTCCTTCTTTCTCTATTTTATTATGTTTACTTTTGGGATGTTTTTCTATTAGTGAATACCATATCTGCCTACTATAAAAAAATTAATAAATTTAAAAAAAGCTGTCGTATGTGGGCACACTGTAAATATTATATATATATATATCCCATGCTAATTTTTCTTCCTTTAGCACCTTCTTCTTCTCCCTTGACTATTTGAGCTGATGTACAAACTAAATTTCTCCACTGTGAGATCAATAAATCAATCAGTTATAGGAATATTCCTGCAATGAATAAATGTACTTAGATTAAAAACTTGATTTCTTTCAAATATTTTTACATGTTGCCACAGAAAGAAAGACATTTCTTACACATCTTTACCAGAAATGCTTAAAGAAACAGATGTATCTTGGTTTACCTGTCCTTTATGATGCTAGTATCAAATCCATGGAAAGGGTTGTCTTTTAAACTTACCTGATCTTTTTCCAGGTTGCTCAGTTGTCTTGGATTGAGAGGAAGGTTGCAACAACGCTATTTGGAGAACCTCCAAGTGCCACGATTGAAGATGCAATGAGGAATTTTCTGAAGGTGCGCATTATGTTATAAAAACAAGCAATTCGATGAGCTAACCATGTTTTTATATACATAGTAAAATTGCTTGACAAGTTATCATGCAAGGGAGCCTTTATGAGGCTTTAAAAATGTCATAAAGGTGATAAAGTTGCACCTGTGTTGTTTCAAATGCTTCTTAATTAGGATAAGTTATTATTTTTCAGTACTGTTTGCATGCTTTCTTGAGGGAGCTCTGATTATAAAACGCATTTTACCGCAGATTCCTGAGTAAAAACGTGCCCCCAGGTCGCTCCTGTGCTTAGTTTTTAAAGGATAATCTGTGTTTTTTTTCATAGAGGCATTCTCCTTGTTCCAACATTTCAACTGTTTATACAGAAGAGAAAATACTCTAGCTTCTGGCCAATATTCCTGAGCGTGCTTCTTTCTGGTGTCTCGCCCTTCAGTTTAGGTGAAGTGGCTCTTGCTACAACATGCCGGAAGATTTAGAGTACATCTACTTTAGAACAGATGATTCCTATAACTGAAAAAAAAAACAATAAAAGAGGTGCGAGATTAGGAGCTGAATTAAAAGTGCACAGATTGCTTAAAAGTGCACGTTCACCATTCAGATTCTCTCATAAATCAATGATGATTCAAGCACTGGTTTGTTTAGAGAAGGTGGGGTCAGGGTGGGGCGGGTTACTTCTTTTTATGTTCAGCATCTTTAGATGAAGCTAACCGTAGTAAAACTGCGAAAAAAATGCTGTTTTGCTGCTGAACGACTTCACTGCTTCTAAAATAAAAAAAATTCTTGTATTCCTATTTAATGCAGGTTGAAGAGATTCATCCCGCCTACTCAAAGCTGAACTACGTGTTCCTGGCTAAGGTCAGTATGGGTTGGTTATAGGTCTCGTTTTTAAAGTGGGACCAAAATGGCCTTTATTGTGTCTTCTCTTCTCTGCTGCAGTGTTACAAAGCTTTGGGCGACAATTATAAGGCCAGGAAGATGTGTGAAGCAGCGTCTTCCATGAACACCGTATCCAAAGAGGTAGATGCTGACAGCTGCAAGATATTCAGTCAGATAAAGAAAACTTGTGATGAAAAACGACTGCACTTTCAAATCAATACACGGTTTTTGCATATTTTCTTCTTTACAAATAAAAATCTGAAATGTTTGGCATGCTTTTTTATCCAGCCCTCGTGCATTTGTACGAGCACCTTTTCCTGCAGCCAGTACGGAAGAGGATTAGGGCCACTGAGAAAAAAAAAAAAAGTGAACTCATTTTTTAATTTTATTTCAGTTTAATATGGGGAAAAAGTCAGAATTCTGACTTTTTTTCTCTCAGAATTCTGACTTTAATCTCAGAATTCTGACTTTATTCTCAGAATTCTGACTTTTTCCTCAGAATTCTGACAGCTAACAAACTTGTTAGCATCAAGCCATAGCCATGTCTGTTTTAGAGACTAGCTCTCTTGTTTTAATGACCTTCTGCTCCTCCATTAATGAGTGGACCCCTCGGGCACGAAAAAAGTTGCCTAATTCCGTCATTTTCCACCAATGTGTCACTGGCCACCTCAAACAACTCACATCTTTGTCAGTGAAACTGAGTGCTTCAACATCTCTTCCTTCATGGTGTCAATCTACATTAAAATCCAAAATTCTGAGATTAAAGTCAGAATTCTGAGAAAAAAAGCCACTATTGAGAAAAAAGTCAGAATTCTTAGAAAAAAAAGTCAGAATTCTGAGGGAAAAAAGTCAGAATTCTGAGATTAAGGTCAGAATTCTGAGAAAAAAGGTCAGAATTCTGAGAAAAA